GAATATTTTATTTGAAAGAAACAAAATTGCAGAGAAAAGTTTGAATATGAAATGATAAAGGTAGACGAAGAGAAAGTCGAAGATGAAGAAAAAGTTGAAGACAAAGACTTGAAAACCAATGAAGGAGATACCCACTGGTTAAACACAATGATTGAGAAGAGAACCCTAAGATGACACAATATCATTCCTACAATCCCTCATTAATGCATGTCCGAAGTCATATTAAGAAGGTGAAAAGACAAAATCCAATAATCCATAAAGTTGATACGATTTATACCAAACTCAAGAATCCATGAATAGATCCAATTTATATATATAAACTCGATTGTCTATACTTAACTTGGTTTCTCAAAATTTCTAACAGACAATTCAACCATTATAAAACATGACTCAAAAATAACTCTTTATTTTTAAATTTTGAGTGTAGAGAGTTTATCTACCTTCCAATATTATTATATCAAATACTCATTAAATACTCGTTAAGATAATAATGCATAACAAATATTTTTTTCAATATTATAATTAAATACATTAATAAATATTATTTATTACTTAAACTAATATTAATAAGAAATTTATAAATTATGTAAATTAATAGAACAGAGATCCGTACTTTTAAAAATACTCATACAAATTTAGTATTAGAATATCTTTATAAATAGGTCTTTATATTTTTTATTTATTTACCAGAACTAAGATCTAATCAATCGATAAAACCCAAACATAATTATATATATATATATATATATATATATATATATATATATATATATTAGAAAACAAACTTTATTATGATAATTACATTAATAAGTTTTCTTTCTTTTAGAAATTAGATATCAAAGTTACAAAATATTTCCAAAAAGTAATAATATGAGAATCAATAATGCGGTGATGCAATAATATAGAGAATTAAAATATGCAACTACGAACAACTTCATACACTATTTTGTATATGTGCATTTCAATGTACGTGACGCGCTCTCTAAATTAGAATAACTATTTTGTTTTACATGGAAAAAGAAATTCAGAAGAGCACAAATTCAATAGCTAGAAATGTCACAATTCAAAATCTGGAACCCTGTTATATAACTGACAATAATAAGAAAAATTTCAAACACCATTTTGTCACATTCAAGTTTTTGAATTAATCTCTAACCATAAAGTAAGAGATGATTAAAGTGGTCGAATTAGTTGTCACTTGTGCAATTAAATATATATCTCTCAAATTTGATAAAAAAAAAAAAGTTCATTTGATGTTAGGATAAATTTGAGGTTTTCTTATTTAAAAAAAATAAAAATAAATACATAAATAAATAGTTCAATCTCCAACTTAATCTTATCTCCATTTTTATTTACCTTTATTTCAATCTTAAAATATTAATATTTTTAAAATATTTTTTATATTTCATAACTTTTTTAAAAATATTTTTTATATTATATATAAATTATTTTTTATATTTTATAATTTTTAGTTTTTTATCGTTTTCAATCTTATAAATTAATTAGTTCATTCAATTTTTTTTCTTACATTTCTTTTATTTATATTTTTTTAATCATTTTTTTTTCAAATTTTTAATAATAACAAATATAAATTCTTTTTCTTTTATTTTTTATAAATATTTTACATCAATTTTATTAGTAATTATTATTATATTATTTATAATTTATCTTTATTAAATTATATATATATATATATATATATTTAGATTTTATTATTTTTATTTATCATCTATCAATTTTTATTTTAATAAAATAATTATATTTTTTTAAAAATTTAGATAAAATTAATAATTATTTTTTTATTATTTTAAATTAATTAAATAAAAATTAATTTCATAAAATTTTTCTTATAAATTATATATTTTATTATTATAAATATTTTAAAATAACAATAAAAAACAATTAACTAATATATAATCATATATTTCAATATAATAATAATAATAATATAATAATAATAATAAATAATGTTATAAATATTATATATATGTAAAAAATAATTAAATATTTCTTATATATATATATTTTAATATAAATATAATAAATTAAAATATATATTTAATTAATATAATAATTATAAATTATTAAATATTTATTTATATAAAAAATATAAAAATAATTTTATTATAAATATAATTATTTTTTAAAAATTATGTATAATAAAAGTGAACAGTAGATGAACAAAAAATTTACCATGGAATACTGAAATTTATTATTATTATCAAAATATAATTTATATAATTTTCCTTAATATGTATGGACTAATTGCCCCTAGACGAATCTAGAACAGATTTTCTTATCCTGTGTAAATCCAAACATGACGGTCGTCGTTGAAGACGAATTCCGGCGACAGTGCTAGTTATTCTTCTCTTTTAGCCAACTTCTCCCTCTCCTTCCTCTTCTCTACCTGGTTACTCTCCTTGCCTTTTCACCCAACTTTGCGCCACATCTCCATTGTTTCCGGTGGTCTCGTCACCAACCACCACCACCACCAAACAACACCGCCACACCTCCATTATTTCCGCGACCCTCCAACCACCGTCACTGCCATGATCCCCCATCGTGCAGGGCGACTCACGACGTCATCGTCAATCCTCTTGGTTGCGCCACATCTGATCCGCTACTTCTTCCTTTCTACTTTACTTCAAGAGTTAAAGTGTTTTGCTTGTGATGGCTAGTTTTCTCCGGGCTGAAGCATGAAGTAATGGTTGGAGAGGGATAAAGTTTATCTGGGTTTGGGGGTTTTCTTCACTGTATGTTGCAGCTGAGTTTATGGGGTTGTGGGTTCTTTCTCTCTGATTTGCATTCTAATAATAATCTAGATCTGTGATGAAGAAAGATATTGGGTGTTTGGGGTGAATAGAATGATTTTATTTTATTCAGAATATCAACAGGCCTTGCCAATGAGAAAGGAGAAGAAAATGTAGAAAGGATAAAAAATAATTGAGGAGGGTCACCGTCGCCGGAAACTACTTCCAGCATAAGTCAAGGACGGTGAGTGTTTTTCTGATAGCTGGTGAAGCATGGAAAAGAAGGACGGCAGAGGAACGAGGGAGAGAAAAAGAAAATAAAAAAAAAAAATCCGGTGGAAACGGTGCATGTGTTGCAGGTAGCATCAACTGTCCTGTGACGAAGGTCAGTAGCTGCAGTCACAATTGAATCATGCGACATAGACTGCTAAAGAAAAGAGTTAAGGCCTCGACTAATCGCTATAGCTTTTGGCCTAGCGCAGATGCGCTCGATCCTAACAATTGGTATCGTAGCCAAGGTCACGAGCTTCGATTCCCAGTGGCAATTGTTGAGGGGAGATTGTTGCAGGTTGCACAATTGTCCCGTGGCAGAGGCCGGTGGGCCAAGTCACAATCCAAGAGTGGGATACCTTGTAGGACAATCGCTGAGGGAGATTGTTGCAGGTAACATCAATTGTCCCGTGACGAAGGTCGAGTGGCCGAAGTCACAATCGAATCGTGCGCTCGGTCGTTAATGTAAAAAGAGTTGCGCCTCGACTAATGGCTATAGCTTTTGGCCTAGTGGTAAGCGCTCGATCCTAACAATTGGTATCGAGCCAAGGTCACGAGTTCGATTCTCGTGGGCAATTGTTGAGGGGAGATTGTTGCAGGTTGCACAATTGTCCCGTGGCAGAGGCCGGTGGGCCAAGTCACAATCCAAGAGTGGGATACCTTGTAGGACAATTGCTGAGGGAGATTGTTGCAGTGTAGCATCAATTGTCCCGTGACGAAGGTCGAGGTGGTGAGTCACAATTGAATCATCGGCCGAGTCACAATTGAATCGCGTGCAGCTACGTTAAAGTAAAAAGAGTTGCGTTTAACTAATCTGCTATAGCTTTAGCCTAGTAGTAACGCTCGATCCTTAACAGCATGATATTTCTTAGAGAGTAGATGAATCTAGGGGTGTAAAAAAGTGGTATAATATTGGGGACTAGAATGAATCAAATGATGTAAAAACTAGTCCACGAGAAATCACATACCACATTTCTTTATAGTAAATTTAGTTGTAGAACGAGTAAGGAATATAAATAAAAGGAAAGTTATTTTTGAATAACCAGAAACTAAAAATAATGTAAAATTTAACCAAAATAAAATCTGGTTAATTAATTGTATCATAAAATCATGCATTTATTTTAAAAATAATTACACAAACTAAATTATTTTATATGAAAATTATTATTATTTGTTAGAAAATTTTTAAGATTTTTTTAAAACATGAACGGTAAACAATAGTATATAATAATCAAGATAAAATACTTTGATTTTTTAATTTACAAGAGAATAGAAAATTATAATAAATCGAAATCAAAATATATTCATAAAAATATTCAATTGGTATTAAAAAAAATGTAACATTTTTTTTTAAATATGATTAGGATTTTGTAATTTATTTTAAAAAAAATTATAGATATATGAAATCATAGTATTTGAATTTATTTTACGCACCTACATTTCATCCTTGTATTTAGTAAAAGAAATCATAAAACGTACCGATGAGTAAGATTTTACCAAGTTACAATACTAAATCGTTGTTAAAAATAATAAATATGTTTTTTATTTTTATATATTATTATAAATATATAAATTTTCAAACATTAAAGATAGTATCTATAAAAGAGGGAATAAATGTTAAACAATTAACTATTTATAGTGAATGGTAAACTTTTGTAAATGCATAAAAAGAAAATTATCATATGTTAATTGTATTTATACATAACATCATTTAAACTCTCATTTGAATACCATTATATTTATTGTTTTCTTTGTAATGTCATAATGTTTTCTTTCATCGTTTTTCAAAATACTTTTAAATTCTAGCTAAATACATTCTCTTATTTTACATTGACTAAACAAAATTATTTATGAAAAAAATAACTTACTATTTGTGTCAGATTTGTCACGAGTTATTACTGACAATGAAAATAAAATAAAATAGTGTATTAAAAAAAAAAAAAAATGAAAGCTATACCTATATCCTATTGCGTGGCACATATGAGTGCAATTTTTGGGCTTCAGAGTTCAGTTCCATACTCCAATCCCATCCCACACACCCACAAAGGAGGAAAAGGGTTTCAAATCAAACTCTCCAATCTCATCACTCACATAGCCGTTTCCAGACCATCCCCCATCAGAACCCTTTCCATTTCATTTCCCATATTCAATTTCAATTCCCCTCTCTATGGCACCGTTTCCCACGCCGTTATCCTGAAACGGCGACGCACCCTCCTAAACCCTAACCCTAGCCTCTCCTTCATCCTCCATCTGCCAATCCCAAACCGTGTCTCTTTATGTTCTCCCAAAACCTGATTCTCCCTCCCGAAAACCCTAGTAGGCCCGCGGCGTCGTTCGCTTCAAAACCCATGAGCAATGAGATCGCAATCGCCGCGCAGAAGCCTCCGCCGTCGATTCTCGTTGGCCGCTTCAAGGCACTCCTCAAGCAGCGCGACGACGAACTCAGGCTCGGCGCCAGCGTTCCCGTTCCCGTGCCGCCCCCGACCACCGACGAAATCGTCCAGATTTACGACCTCCTCTTGTCGGAACTCACCTGCAATTTGAAGCCTATCATCACTGATCTCACAATCATCGCCGAACAGCAGAGGGAGCACGCCAAAGGCATTGCTGACGCAATTTGCGCTCGGATTCTCGAGGTCCGTCTCCGTTGCCGCCGAACTTCTTCTTCTGCCTCTCCAAATTTGTATAATGTCATGGAATCGTTTTATTTGTTCGGGTCAAAATTATCCCTCTCTTGTTGTTTAAATTTTCTGAATATCACTATTTGGGTTCCAATTCTTCGTTTTTTTTTTTTATTACAGTTCTGCATTTTTTTATGCTTTTTGCATTTTTGGGAAAAATGATGGTCACGCATAGACGGAGAGAACGATTGAATTATGCTCAAATTGACCGTTGTTTTGGACGTTATATCAAAGCGTAAAAGAAAAGTAAATAGTTGCTACTGATATTTTAAAGAATTTTAAAGAATAGGAAATAGAACAATCTGACCAGAGATATGGGGAGTTCCTCACGCATTGTGGAGATCGGGTGCAACGTGTTTAAGGTCTTTTTTCGATTTCAGTGAAGTCTAAGGGCTTACGAATTGAAATTTTAATACTTATTCCTGAAAGACTCAGGACTGCCATTAAAGGGAATCTGCTGTTTCAGTTTTGCTGAAATGAAGTGATTTCTTCAAAAACAGAAAAAGTTGATGAATGAACGAGTATTTGAGTGCTCAGGAAAACATTTCTGTAATTTTTAAAATAGTACAGATCATGCAAAATTGAGATAATTGTATTCAAATATTCAAATAATACCATATGTAAAGAGAATAAGGACATTTTTAAAATACAAGTTCATTGTCAGTTTTGTTAATGCGTTGTAGAATATTAGTTTTTCTACTTACTAGAATTAGAATGTCGTTAAATTGTATATCTGGCTATGCCACAGTTCACACGAGAATTCAATTTTTTGGAGATATTCTTTTGCAGGTGCCAGCAGATCAAAAGCTTCCCTCACTCTATTTGTTGGACAGTATTGTGAAGAATTTTGGGCAGGAATACATTAAATACTTCTCTTTTCGTCTGCCAGAAGTAGGTCAACTAGAATTTCATTACAGTTTTAATTTATAACACTTTGTTCTGTGCTATAAAAATTTCTTCTTCTTTTGTCTCCCCAGGTTTTTTGCGAGGCATACAGGCAGGTTCAGCCTAGTTTGCATCCTGCTATGCGGCATCTTTTTGGGACCTGGTCAAAAGTCTTTCCACCTTCTGTCCTACGCAAGATTGAAGCCGAGTTGCAATTTTCTCTAGCAGTTAATACTTCATCATCCACCCTGAATCCTGTCAGGGCTTCTGAATCTCCACGGCCTAGTCATGGCATACATGTTAATCCAAAATACTTGCGGCAGTTGGAGCGTTCAACTGTGGATAGTGTAAGCATTTTTAACAACTGTCTTCCATACAAACTGTACAGGGACTAGGCCGAGGCTTTATTAGTGGATACTGAAAGATCGTATATTTCACGATTGGAGTTGTTTATTGTTCAGACATAACCGTATCCAGTTGTTATTTTTGTTGCAAATATCTTATTTTATCTCCCATGCTAGGATCTCTTCATATCTATCATCCCTTTCCTGCATGTTGGTCTGTCGCTTTATCTTCCAATAACGTTTCCTTATTTTCTTTTGCAATAGATTGTGTTCTCTAAACTTCCTATTTGAGGATGTCTGGGATTTTGATGTCATGTTTAGCAATGGCTGATGGAGGCATCAATGTATATATATAATCCAAATCTTTTTTATGGGCTGTGAAGAGAGGGTGCAAAATATTTTTTTTTACATTTCCTGTTTGCTTACCCTGCGCCCCCTCTTTCCATAAGAGCTTTTATTAATCATGACTAGGGATCTGTATGTTAACCATCTAAAATCAAATTTACGCTGTCTGGCTTGTTCTAATTGAAAATCTGGTGTTAAGATTAATTTGTGTACGGCTCTAAATAATAAATGGTTCAAAATAAAAACAATCTAAATCACTTTTACCCAACTTTTGAACAAATAAACAATAAGTCCTAGCACCGCAACATTTTATTTATTTATTTCAAAATTGTGATTTACTGAATATCCTATCTCTAATAAGCATGTTTGTATTCCTTTCCTTTATACTGGTGTCCTTGGACCCGAAGGAGAAAAACCTGGATTAAAGACTAAAGAACCTCCAGTTTGCATGTTGTTGACGACAACAAAGTTCTGTTTATCGAATAGTATTGCTGTCAACATGTCAGACTAGCATATTTATCAATTTTTCTGTCTCCTTTTTGTTAGACATCTGGAAAATTTGTCACCATGTTCAGTGTTATTATTTTTTCCTTTCCTTCACTTGTCATAAAATTGTCATAAAATTTTCTCTTCTCATATTTTGTCCCGTGGCTAAGAATTTGAGTTTTGTATCCATTGATAGTAGAAGGGATTGCTTCTGAATATTTAGCATTGAATAGAGAAAGCTTTCAACCCTTTTTTGGGAAAATTTTCTTGCAAACAGATATAATGCGTGGCTTTGTAACACAGTATATATTTTATCCTCCCAGGTTGGTGCTGAAAAGATGGATTCATCAGGAAATGCTAATAATACAAACTTTGGCATCATAGCTAGTAAGACACATCAATTTTTATCAGGCAGTAGCAGGCTTGGTATTTCCTCGTCCCCTTCAAGAATTGGACTCGATAGGCCTTTGTCTGCATCTATGGATGAATATGCAACTGACAGTTCTGCTAACAGATTAATTGAGAGAGACACTCCTCATCCTGCTGTTGATTATGGAGTAGGCAAGGCATTGGGTAGAGATGTGGAGTTGAGTGAATGGCAACGAAAGCAGTATGCTGGTGATGGTTGGAATCGATTTCCAACATCTATCACATACAGCCTTAGTAATGGACATCAGCGTCAAAGTCCAAGAGCTTTAATTGATGCATATGGCAGTGACAAAAGTCAAGAAACTTCAAGTAAGTCTTTGCTAGTTGAACGGATGGATAGAAATGGTATAGACAACAAAGTATTGCCAACATCATGGCAGAATACTGAAGAGGAGGAGTTTGATTGGGAAGATATGAGTCCAACCTTAACAGACCTTAATAGGAATAACAGTTTATTGCCTTCAACTATTGGATTCTCCAGGGAAAGGCCTGTTGCTGCAGCTAATGCAGCTTTGTCAGAGCATGATTCCAGGAAAGGGGTTTGGTCAAGTGGATCTCAGCTTCCTCCAGTGGATGATTCTTCTGCCATAGCAGAAGATGCATTTACTTCTTTGGGGGTATGTTTCCTCACTTCTATTATTTATCCATTCTGCTATATATTGTTTCAGTATGGTTTATGATATTACATTTCCCCATTAAAATATACACCTCTAAGCAAATGCAGCTGATGCTTTGTGATCTTTGATATTCACTGGTGATGAGGATCTGTTTAGGTTTGTTTGGGTAGGCTCAATAAAATGCCTTAAATATATTCACCCTTGTCTGGCATGAGCCTCTAGTTTTGTTTGCAGATATTCACTAATGCCACATTTTTTTATAGTAAACCACTTCCTTTTATAATTTAGCTATTTTAGTAAATAGCTAATGGCCTTTGTTTAGTAGCAGTCTTGCTTTTAGTGATTTAAGTTTGGTTCTCATCTTTCTATTATTAACATGGATTTTATTTTGTTATAGATTTAATATAAAACCATTTGTGTTGTTACCTAATAGATAAGAATTCAAAACAGTTGGTCCATGATTTAATTTTACAGCCTGTATAACCAGGTGGCTTTGAGTTTATTGCTTTGTTATGAGCAGTAGTGTTGATATTATGTTGTCATAAAGCATTCTATTTTTCTTAATGATAGTAATGAGTGGTAGATTGGTGGAATGGTAAAAGAGGTGCTGAATATAAAATGGTGTTCGATTATAATTCCTTAGCATTGAGAACTGTTGCCATTTGCCTATGCAACTAGGGCTGGTGATCCTTTAACATACACTAGACAACAGCAAGATCATAGAAGTTGGGTTGCCACAGCCTCTAGTTCTAGGCCTTCAAGCCCTAAGGGATAAGATAAAGGGAGTTATACATAAGAAGAATGTGGTGATGAAGAGATACACATGTAGCGTTGGAAGCAAAAATAGGGAAGAAAGATTTCAGATCTTGTAGATGAAGATGATGATACCTATTAAAAAAGCTTGTATTTGAATTTGAAATAGTTGCACTAAGTCTTAAAGGCTTAAACTAGTTTGATTCCATTATTGCGACTTGTGCATTTAGTTCTTAAACTAACATGTGATAGTTAATTATGAAAGGATTTACTTTTAGGTATTTATTTTTAATAAAATTCATTACATGTGTGTTGGGTATAATCTATGTTAGGTGTATCTTAAAACCTTTAAATAGTGGTCATCTGGCTACCCACTATACGGCATTCGGTGTTGCTATTTGGCATTGACTACTTGTTGCCAACCCTATTTTATAATTTTTTAATAGAAACTAGAAATTAGTTCAATGTAGGTGGTTGTGTTTTCCTTGCTTCAAACCAAAACAACTTTTTCACGAGGGTGTGTATGTAATAACCATTTGTGTTTTCCTCCATCTAATAACATTATCAGTGGATAGACAAACCCGCATCAGGTTTGACTTGTATTGTCTAGGATGGACTCTGGCCATGTCTCTAATGTAAAAACCTAGACCATCAGTTTTGCCTGCATCTCTTGACATATAAGGCCATCTGTAAATCTGAATGTCACTCGACCTCCTACCTTTAATAAATATAATTACTGTTGCAAAAACTTGTTAAGAATCAGTTTGAAGCTATATAGATGACAGGTGTTTGTAATATAACACCATTTGTGTTTTCACCCAATAGTTTAAAGTTTCATAGAAAAGCTTTTTAATGAATATTTTAGCATAATTTGAAAGGAAATAAAACTTGCTCTGATAGGATTGAAAATTTATTTATTCTCTCTGCAGTTTCGGCCAGCACCCCTGGGTCAGGTGCCTGGATTCCAAAATCGTAGTCTGAGCTCTTCTCAACCTCATGATGCTTGGAAGATTGCACATCATCCGGCCAACTCATCACAACATATCTTTAGTAATAGGGGACGAGCAAGAAGTCATACTATTCCTCCTATTGATAACATTCACAATGCAGATGCAATCCCGTATCGAGTTCGACCTGCAGTGTCAAGGATGGTTTCTGGCCGCGTCTCTAATGTCGAACATAGACCATCAGTTTTGGCTGCAACTCTTGAAATAAGGCCTTCTGTAAATTTGAATATCACTCGACCACCCTTAAATCCAATAATTCCATTACAAAAACATGTCAGGAGTCAGTTTGAAGCTATACATACTAGTAGCCCTATTGTGAATCATGTTGTAAATAAATCGTCACTTATGCCAGAGCAGTCATTTGACAGTGTCGAGAACAAGGATGCAAGTATTTTGAAGATACATCAGTTGCCTAATCAGCTTCCTGGGCTAGTTTCGTCCAACCAGCAAAATCATGGGCAAGCACCACAACTGCAGTTTTATCCACCCTCTCAGGATCCCTTAAACACACAATTTAGTCATGGGAGTAATTTGCAGGGACATGGTGCTTCTATAAGTACTGCCATGTCGAATCCATTGCCTGTCATGCAATTCCCTTTGCCACTCCAAAGTATTGCAAATAATCCTTTATTACAGGGTGGAGCCCGTCCACCTTTACCTCCAGGGCGCCCTCCTGCTCCATCTCAAATGATACCTCATCCGAATGCCCGTCCATTTATGTCAAGCCAACAGCCAACTGTTGGATATACTAATTTAATTAGTTCTCTAATGTCTCAAGGTGTGATCTCATTGGCTAACCAGCTGCCAGGACAGGTATGTAGCATTAGTATTTTTCATTGTTCATTTCTTTCCCTTTTTTGTTTTTTCCTTTGTTTATTTGATTGTGCCACTCGAGATAATTAATTATTTGTTTTTAGGATTCTGTTGGAACTGAGTTTAATCCAGATATTCTGAAGCTTCGTCATGAGTCTGCTATCAATGCCTTGTATGGTGATCTCCCAAGACAATGCACAACTTGTGGGCTCCGATTCAGATGCCAAGAGGAACACAGTAGTCATATGGATTGGCATGTGACTAAGAATAGGATGTCTAAAAGCCGGAAGCAGAAACCCTCTAGGAAGTGGTTTGTAAGTGACAGGATGTGGCTTAGTGGTGCAGAGGCATTGGGAACAGAGTCAGTTCCAGGTTTTTTGCCAACAGAAACCATAGAAGAAATGAGAGATGATGAAGAGTTGGCAGTTCCAGCAGAAGAGGACCAAAATACATGTGCATTATGTGGAGAGCCTTTCGATGAGTTTTACAGTGATGAAATGGAGGAATGGATGTATAGAGGAGCTGTATACCTCTATGCTCCCACGGGGACAACAGCAGGCATGGACAGGTCACAGTTAGGCCCTATAATTCATGCTAAATGCAGATCAGAATCTAATATGGAACCATCTGAAGATCTTGGGCTGGATGAAAAGGTATTTTTTTTCTCAATCTATTGTTACGCACTGCATCTGCCTCGCTTACTTTGTCAAGAGATTATGTTAGGAGTCCCACAATGATAAGTTTGAAATAAACTATTTTGATATATACTTCAAGTGAAAGATTTTCCGTATGGTCTTTTGAGTATGACTTTTTTTATGTTATTTGTCAACCAGTTTCTTTTTTCGAATTGCGTTTATTGTTTTTTGCATGTACGATGATGCATGTTTGCTTATGCTTCAAGGAATCTTCCCTAAATATCTTTTTATTGCTTTCTGTATACGCAGGGTATTGATGAAGAAGGTACCCAAAGGAAACGAAGGCGGAGTTGACTAAAGTTGACCATTTTTTTGCATTGTAACTTATGATTTTCCATTAGTGTATCTTAGAGTAGAGTTGAATCTTGCAATACCATGGCCATTCAGCCAAAGTCATGTACATGTATAGTTGAACTGGTAAGATGCATATTTCTTGCAGCCAAAGGTTTACATACTAACTTGAAATATTTCGTCCCCAAATCAAAACCATCTATAGTAGTACATTGTTTTTTTTTTTTTGCTTTTTTTGTTTTAATTTTGGGATGACTCGTGTGCAGCAAGGTGATATCAGTTTGATCAGAATTACTTGCTACAATTTAGCTGGTCACTGACAGTAGCATGCTAACTATATGCATTAACTGTTTGTATTTTATCAAACTCGTGCATAAATGAGAGAAGACTTCAAATATACTGGCAGTTTCTTCAAATTAATTCCTATTATTTTGGTTTCTTACTGTCAGGGAACAAAAACACAAGCGGAAGGTCCGAGGAAGTATCTAACTTTCCTTTTTAATATCTATAAGGTTTTTTGTTTTTTTATGATAATGTTTTATGTTTTTGGTTGGACGGTACCTGGTATCATATTTTTTTTTTTTGGTATTTTTATATGTTGATCGTGCATTCTCATAATTAAAATAAATTTTATTTTATTCTTATCGTTCATTTGTATCCATCTTTCTTTATGTTTTTTAGATTTTTTTTTAAAAACCTTAAATCATTTTTATCATTTTTCTTTTTTTTGTTATTTTTTATTGTTGTTTGGAGAATTTATTACCTCGTTTTTTTTATTGCAAGAGGTAATTCGTTTCAAATATGGTTCTAAAAGTTTTTTTTTTTATATATAGATTTGCAAAAATTAAAATATAATTGGTTCGTAAACATTCAAAAAAATAATTTCTAAAATAACTTTCAGATTATATGTTCTACAACAGGTTTCTGGTTTGGTGGATCCTAAATTGGTAAATTCATTACAGATGCATTAATCCGAATGTATTTCAGTAAATGTTTTTTATCCATATCGTGTTCAATATATTTATAATTCAAAGCATAAATCATGACAAAATTTCTAACATGGGAAAATGAAAATGAATGTTTGAAATGTGTCGATCTCTGTCCTCTTATTTTTAAAGTAGTTTTATTTTTTTTTAAATAAATGGGTCAATGTTGTTGTAGGCAAAATTGTTTTTGCGATAATATATACAATCAACAAAACCAAATTAAAAAAAAAATTATTAATTTTTTAATATATATTTTTATTATTATTTTTCTAAATAGTACATGTTGGTCTATGTTGTGGTGGAGAAAATTTGTTCTATGTTTATTTTTTTTATTCACGTTGTATTACAGTTATTGTTTACAATGTAAGATATTAATGTAATATTGATATAAATATACAATTTTAAAGAATATCAAAACATCTTTAAAAATGATGTTATCAAAAGTTATTTAAAAATAAAAAATATTGTTATAGATGTCATATTTGAGTTGCTTGAAATAAAAAAAATACTTAAAATTTAAAAAAATATTTATATAATTAGTCTGATGAATTTTTAAGACATTTTTATATAAGAATCATATTAAAATTTATTTTTATTTTTAAGCCATTTTTACTAAGATTTCCTTTTTGACAGGATGATAAAAAAAATGTTTGAAATTGAAAAGAAACAGGGAAAAATTCATAATATCAATTTGGGGGATGAGTGTTGAGATTAACATTCAGACAAACCAATCAGACAGACCCGAAAACATTGACACATGTAAGGGTTAATGTTTACTACTTGAAGCCTGACAAATTTCCTAATTTAGATTGAGAGTCACTAAAAATTATAAACTTTTTTAAATTTGCATCAACAATATTAGAAAAGAAATAAAAGAGAAAGTATTCTTACTCTTCAAAATATTACACAACAATATATGGTCACAAATAGCGGATATAGCTTTTTTTTCCACTATTATAATTGTAGATATTACACTGTACATTGCGATTATCGTGACATAAAGTTATTATCTGTTTTTACCATATAATTATTTTATATATAGTTATTTTAATTATTAGTATATGTTTTATTTACAAATATGCATATATTTTTATTTATTTAAAAGTGTTTAATTGTTTGCCACCACTAGAGGCCTCCCCGGTATAACATCCGCACAGTCACACCTGTTCCACCATCAATACTTCAGAATAAAAAATTGAAGTTTGATTTTTGTTTTTCTTTTTTGGTTTACAAAAATGGCACCAAACAGAGTTGAAATTTTGTGGCCAACTTTTTAAAATTTGATCGGAAATGAATAGATGAAGATATCTTGTCAGGTTTGAAGGTTTATCAGAGGATTAATTGGATTTAATCAAATTTAATAAAATAATATTTTTATAATATAATAAATATATAATAAATTTATTAATAATATTTTTTATAAAAAATAAAGAAAAATAATAAAGATTTATGTAATAATTACTGTAAATTATAATAAAAATAATAATTATAATAAAAATAATAAATATAAAATATATTGGAGAATAAAAGATAAATAATTATTAAAATAAGATAGTAATAAAATAATAATTATTTAAAATTGATGTAACTGAAATAAAAAAACTAAAATATATTATACTTTTATAAAAAATTTATATTAAAAAAATTTAATTTAAAATATTTTATTTATCAAAATCGATTGATATAAAAGTTCAACTGATTTTTCAGTTTTAATGATTTTGTTCTAATTTTATCTTAATTTAATTATTTAAAAATTCCAATCCAACTAGTTAAACCGGTCGGATTTTCAAATATCAATCTGCGGCTAATAATATAAGGGCTGTAATTGCAATTATTTATATATCTAAAACAATTTGTTAAATTTATTTTTCAATATATAAATAAATAATAAAGCTATATGATAATCATCTAAACAAATAAAACAAAATAGTATCAATATTTATTTTATATTGAAATATCATGTTATATTAATATAGGTAAATTATATTAAATATAAATAATATTAACAAAGTAACTATATTTAAAAATAATAATTATTAATGGTATATTTTGTTAGCATTTATTTTCAAAACTTTATAATAGATTATTTTTTACTTATTTTAAAATAACAATAATAATAGTATATAATGTAATATTTAAATTATTTAAAAGTTCACAAGTTAATTAATATTGAAAAGTTTATACTATATTATTTTAATATTTTGATTTTATTTTTATCCTAATTAAAATTTATATGTTATATTATTACTTGTATGTTAAATAATAAATACGATGAAATATTTATAAGAAAAATTGGTAAAGTTTTATATATTATTAATTAAATTTAAAACTATTTTATGTTGGAAGGTTATAATCTAGTGATGTTAGATATAAATAAATTATGTTGAGAACGAATATCACCTTATACATACTTAAGATCACTAACAATAACAATGATAATAATATTAATTATCGTGAATAATATGATGTAATATTGAAGTGCTGAAAAGATTAATATAGTTAAAAAATTACAACTATAAATTACCAATGGTTCAAACCATCATTAGTTGAATTGTAAGATTTTCTAATAACAGTTTGTTACAATATATAAATGTAAAAAATTTACTTCATATTTCCTAACCTTATCTGTTTAATTTTAAGTAAAAATAAAATTGATTTTTTTTTTAAAATTAAAAGATCCAGTTGATTTTTTAAATGAATAAAGATATGAAAAAAAAATGTAACAGATTTTTTAAATGATAAATAATTTCAAAATCCCAACCAATCCAATTTATTTGTTAAAAGATTAACAAATAAATATAGATTAAAAAAGATAATAGAAAAGATAAAATTTACTTTGGATTGAAAATATAGTATCGCCGCATACAAGTTAAATAGGAATTGCTGTTGACCAGCGAATGAAACATTCAGAAATACTTGTGCTGTGGGAGTGCGCTCTACTGTGGATTATGTAAGTTTTTTTGTGATCTCTCTCTTTTCATTACAAACTATTTCATTGCTGTGGATTGTTTATTGTTTATTGTTACAACTTACGTTCTTCAAACATTGTATTGCCAAAGACTTCAAATTTTTTAGATGTATATCCGTTGAATATGGGAATTATTTGTTTCAAATGGATAACAATGCGGGATGTGACACAGTATTTGTTGACTTGATAGGCTTTTGTCTGCATCAATGGAAGGAAATGCAGTTCACGCTTGTGGTGGCATGTTAACTGAGAGATACTCTCCTCGTCCTGTAGTTGATTATGGAGTGGCCAAAGAATTAGGTAGATGTGTGGGAATGGGTGAAAGCCAAGGAATGCAGTACAGCCCTACAAATGGATATCAGATTGAAATGTCAAGAACTTTAGTTCATGCATATGGCACTGAGAAAAGCCTAGAATGTCGGAGCAGTAAACCATTTTTAGTTGAACAGAAGGATAGAAACTGCATAGACAATAAAATGTGGTCAAAATCATGGCAGGACACTGAAGAGAAGGAGTTTGATTGGAATGATATTAAGCCAACTTTGATAGACCATAGTAGGAATAACAGTTTAACACCTTCAACTGTTGGTTTCTCCACGCAAACACCTGTTGTCGCAGTTAATACAACTTTGTCAAAGCAAGATGCTGCCTGGAATGGTTGGTCTCATGGATCCCGGTTTCCTCCACTCAATAATTCATCTGCTATGGCGGTATGTTTCCTCGCTTCTATATTTTATTTATTCTGTCTGCTATTCATTAGTATATATGGTTTATGTAATTCCACGTCTAATGATTATACGTTGCGGTTGAAGGTGTTATCAAATTCTTGTATGGATTAGGTTTATGTATTGTTAGTGTTGTTTCTCCCCATAAATCCCTTCAAATAACCCATCAATATAATTGTAATAGCAAAATATATTCCTCTAAAAATAATTGCAAATTTATTTATGCAGAATAGTTTGTGCTCCTCTCAGATTCCTCATCATTTTTCTAACTCGTCACAACATAACTTGGATCAAGCAAGGACTCTTACGAACCCTCAAATTACTGACATTCGCAATAATGTGAAACCTCCATCATCAGTTGCGCCACCATCTTTTGAAAGAGCACCTTTTGTAAATCAGAACGTCAATTCGTTTGTGCCAGCACAGTCATATGGCAGTGTTGAGAACAAGGATGCAAGTATTACAAAGATGCATCAGTTCCCTAAGAAGCTCCCTGGACATATTTCTTTCAACCAGAAAAATCACTGGCAAGCACCACAGCCGCAGTTATTTCAGTTTCAGGATCCATCAACCTCACATTTTAGTCATGGGATGAGTTCTTGGCAGGGATACGGTGCTTCTACAAGTACAGCCATGTTGAATCCGTTTCCTGATATGCAATCCCCTTTACCACTCCAAAGTATTGCAGAGTACCCTTTACATGCAGGTCACCCTCCTGCTTCGCCTCAGATGATGACACCTCCAACAAATATTGATAAATTTCTGTCAACCCAACAGCGACCTGTTGGATACACCGATTTACTTACTTATCTAATGTCTCAAGGTATCATCTCATTGGATAAACTGCGGCCAGCACAGGTAACCAATATATGTTATAAAGAGTGGCTTGCTGTTACTTTTCCTAATACTAAAATAATATCTATCATAAGTTCATTTCTTTATTTCTTTTTTCCTTTGTTTATTTGACTGTGCCACACAAGATTTAATATTAAGTACTTGTTTTTCAGAATTCTATTGGAACCGAGTTTAATGCAGACATTCTTAAGGTTCGGCGCGAGGAGTGAATAGCTTGTATGGTGATCTCTCAATATAACGCAGAATGTGGAGTCGGAAGCTTATCCATTTACTTTTTTTTTTATTATAAATATTTATATTATTGTAAATCTAATTAACTGAATGAAAACTATCATCTAGTGTATTCGTGGATGTAGATTATTTTGACTGAATTGTGTAAATTGTTTGTGTTTTTATTATTTATTTTTGTCTTGTATTGCATTTGTATTTCGAACAATTGGTATCAAAAAACTTTTATTCATACCCGTGGGAGCAATGACAAAAGATGAAAAACTGAAGATTGACAAGTTCGATGGAAACGATTTCGAATTTTGGAAGATACAGATTGAATATTATCTTTATCAGACAAAGTTACATCAGCCTTTGTCTTTGTCTGAAGATAAATCAGAAACAATGTCTTAGACAGATTGAGAGTTGCTAAATCGATAAGTTTTAGGCATCATTAGATTAACATTGGCGAAGAATATTGCCTATAACATCATCAACAAGATCATCATAGAGAGTTTGTTTATTAAATTGTCAGAGTCTTCCATGTAGAATATGTCTAACCTTCATAGAAAATATGTCACATAAAATTTCATCTTTATATTTCCCTATGGAGATTAGAATATTTACTTATTTACCAACTACTATTCCTCCATCATCTTTTATCCACTAAAATTTATAAGGTTTTGGATGAGGAACAATAGGTATGGTTAATTTGTTTACAACCCTTGAACTATAATAATTACAGCAAGAGCCATTATCCACAATTAGAGAATAATTATTTTCAAAAAATTTAAATCTGGTATGGAATAGATTCTCTGTGTGATTGTTCTAATTAAATGGGTTAATTTTCCAAGAGTCGTCTTACCATTAATAAATCACTTTCACAAGGAAGCACCTCCTCCTTAGAGTTAGAGGATTCATCTTCACTAGGTAAAGATTGTGTCTCATCCTAGTTTACGATTTCTTGGTCTTTTATTAACATGATTTTCGTAGTAGGACATTCAGAAGCATAATGCCCTCGACCAAGACATCGAAAACACTGGATATCTCTGGTCTTCTTTTCCTTGGAGAAGTCTGGTTTTTGTTTTTCCTATTCAAATTTTCTATAATTATCTTTCACTTTTTGTTTTTCTATTTTCCTATCAAGTGGCCTTTCAAATTTTGGTTTGGAGGTAGAACCCTCCCTCTTAAGTTCATTCCTAGAATTAGGGTATTCTCTTATGTAAGAAGTTTTTCTTTTTATTTGTTGTTCTACCTTAACACATAGTTGTACTAATTCATTTAGATCTTGGTAGGGAAGTAACTCCACTCGGTCCCTTGTTTCTAGGTTAAAGCCACTTTGGAATCTAGCAATATGATTCTTGGTTCTTCCCTTATCTCAGCCCTCATCATTAATAACTTCATCATTTACCTATACTTCTCTATGGTCATATTTTTTTGTTGGATTCATTGGAGCTTGTCCATCAACTCCCTATCACAGTAAAAAGGTACATGTCTCTTCCTAAGAGCGCTTCAGAGTTCTTTCAATACTTAACCTAGGGCTCATTGTGTATTCTCCTATCTTGTACTAGGGAAGTCCATCAATATATAGCGTGCCCTTGAAAACTAAGGGTTACCATGGACACCCTTCTTTCTTCATGTATTTTGTGATACTCAAATAATTGTTTGACCTTCATCTCCCAGACCAGATATTCTTCCATATTATCCTTACTGTGAAAGGGAGGAAGGTCAACCTTAGGTTACCTGTGAGGTTTCATCCTAAGTCTATGATGTCTAGGTGGAGATGGTTGATAGTAATCATCATTGTGATGACTACTATAGTTTCTAAATGGGTGTGGTTTTTTCATGTTGTTCATTTCTTCTCCCAAAACCCTCACTTTTATTTTTATTTTTGTTTTTATCTTCTAGTAATTGGGCCAACATAGCCCTTATTTCTTCATCTTGTTTTTCAATTTTTTTTCTAATGACCTAAGTTTATCCCTAACCGAAGCATGTTCCCTAGATTTATGGTAACTCCCACCTACACTAGAATGACTTGATTGTGCATGAGAATGGTCACTCATTTTGTTTAAGAAAGTTTTTCACAAAAATGAAGTGACAAAAGGGTTTCACAAAAGAAGTTTTTAAATGTCTGTGTCGGACCCCTAAGACCAAAGGAATGTCAACTACTAGTTAGAGCTCACCTAGATTTTTGCCACGGGAAATTAAATTCTAATTGCAAAAGTTAACACAAAGTAAACTAGACGAACCCTAGGGTGAAAGTCCAAGTGACACTTAATGAGCCTCTTGGGACACTTTCACAAAACTAAAGTGTGCAATATTACAATGTTTAAAGTGGGAGATGAGATTGTACCAAAGATATTTTCCCAAGACACCCAAGAAAATTTAAAGTACAAAAAAAAATTATAACATGACAAATCCGTGACAAAAATTAACAAAAGTTTTTGTGATGGAAAATTTGTTTGTGGCAAGATGCATTGTAACGAAAATTTTTGTGGCTAGTGAGTTTGTGACAGATTTTGGAGCATTTTTGGAACTCCAGATGCACAAGTCAAAACACAAGAAAATGGTTAAACAAGGAGTAGGATACAATCAAATGATTAAAATATTTTGTGACAAAACTTAAGAATTTCAAAGGAAGACAAACAAGAAAATTTTGGCAAATTTTAAATAGAAGACACTCAAAAGAACCTAAGAATGGATCTAGAGTAAATTACAAAATTAAAACTCAAGTTGAATTATATTATACGCCCAAATTGAGCTTGGCTGAATATACACTCCTATCCATCTCTTTATACATGTCATTTTTCAATTCCATTTTGTTTCGAAGGATTGTGGGACTTATTTATCAGTTGCAACACATAATTTTCAAATTTTATTTTCTAAGTCTCGGGTTTTCTCTCTTTTAAAATTCTTTTTCTCTTCAATTTCACAATTCCAATTGCTTTGTGTTCTTATGAAACTTAAGCCTTTTCATTAATTCAATTTCAACTCAATTTTTAAAACATGCATTTTATACAAGTCTGAACATCATCATAGCAATTTATCAACAATGGATTCAACTTATAACACTTTAAAGGAGACTATACCAACTACGGCTTGTACAAAGAAATTATGATTAGAAATTTACTAATGATCTAATAGCAAAATAATATACTCAATGGTACAAGCCAACATACATGGTTCGGTTCCTAGCATACAAGACTTGGTATTTATTATTTTTCTTTAACAATAATTTCTAAATTCTAATACATGTGGAACAACTTCTATGGAATTATGAACATGAAATGACTAAACATGACATCTAATACAATATGGAAGATTATAAAATTGAAAGTTAAGGAGGAAAATTTTATGGCTACTCATATAATATATTAAGAACTTCCTCAACATAAAATTGATTCATGAAAAGAACTAAGCAATGAATCAATTACAAGAGAAATATTAAAGACGCACTACTACAAATAAAGCTTTCAACGACGTTGTATCAGGCGACGTTGAAAGTATGACTTTTTAAATTAATAATTTTTATTTGTTTACAACCCCTTTACCCCCTTTTATTTATCTAGGGGTCTCCCTCTCTTTATATTATATTTTTATTAGGTTCTCCATCTCTTTATATTATATTTTTTAGAAGTTTATTACTTTTTTAAGAGAATTGTCATTGGCAGGATTCGAACCCAGTACTTTAGAGTTGGAGGCTGATACTTCAACCACTAAACTACTAGAATTTTCTGATAATAACTTACAAATAAATTATATTTATATACAAATAAATATATATCAGTGTAAATATATAAATATATAAATACAAAAATATTTATATATTTTGATATATTTATATAGTTATATATTTATATGTTGGATGTGAGGGCACACTCGAAAGTGAAAGTGTGTGTCGAGTGGGTTTTCAAAATTTGATGCTAAATTTGTGAGCAGGTATCTTTATATGAGTTTGTAATTTAATGACAGAATATAATCTTTATAATTTTATTTATATAATGATATAAAATAAATTTGGGAAATGCGTTATTTGCTCTCAAGCGAAAAATACCAATTTTCGCTCAAGCGAGACTTGCGTAAGTGAATTTCCGTGAGCTTTAACATATTTTCACTCAAGCAAGAGTCAATCACACTTTCACCCTCGATCGAAAAATACCAATATAATTTATTTGTAAGTTATTATCAAAAAATTATAGTAGTTTAGTGGTTGAGATATTAACTTTCAACCCTAAAATACTGGGTTCAAATGCTATCAGTGACAATTCATTAACTTAAGAGAATTTTTGGTTGAAAATAAAAATAAAAATACTTTCCAGAAAATATATACAAATAAATATATATTTACATGGATATATATTTATTTGTATATAAATATAATTTATTTGTAAGTTATTATTAGAAAATTCTAGTAGCTTAGTGGTTGGAGTATCAGCCTCCAACTCTAAAGTACTGGGTTCGAATCCTACCAATTTTCAAATTTAAGTGAGTTTTTGGGTAAAAAAAAAAAGACTTTCCACGTCGGTTCATATGGGAACCGACGTGGAAAGTGTCAATAAGTAAAAAAAAAAAAAAAAAGACTTTCAACGTCGGTTTATATGGGGACCGACGTAGAAAGTACTTTCTACGTCGGTTGACTAATAACCGACGTGGAAAGTACTTTCTACGTCGTCTCAGCTATAATCGACGTTAAATGACGACGTAGAAAGTATATTTTGTAGTAGTGACGCAAAAATCGACTACATATGCCTCAAAAGACTCAAGCAAGTGCATACAAGACGATTATTCAAGGACAAGAAAGAAGGAAAGATGAATACACTTATCTCTTGAAGACCTTCATGCCTAGCTCATGATACCAAATTGATGGAAATGTCCTCCTTCCACCCAATGAGACGTCAAAAATATGCACCTTAAATTCCCAAGAGTTAGCCAAAAATTCTTCCCCAAGTGTCTTAAGAAACTTGACACTTTCTCCTTCAAGGAAGGTTCCTTGTTTGGAAAA